ATTGGAAACAAATGACAAATTAACTGAATTTGTTGCGCTAGTCTTCAAATTGCTATTTACATAATAAACAATATCAATATAATGATCATAGTGAATTAATTTTTATTATATTAATTGTTAAGAACTTAATACTAATAAAATACTATTAATAAAAAATAGAGTATCTAGTAATTTAATTATTTTATTATAATGAACAATTACATTATATTGATCTTATATTAACAATTCTTAAATAAAAATTTTGTATTACAACCTTTGTAATAATATTTGAAAAATATAAATCCAAATACATAAATAAATAGGAAGTTATTAAGTTGCTATGTCCTTTGTAGTAAACTTAAAATTATGAAAATGGTATCATTATTTAAGTTCACATACCTAGGCACTTAGATACCAAGTATAATTGCATTAAATGTTAAAATATTTCAAAGTGCATCAGTTAAAATAATGTATTCCTATGGGAGGATTTTTGTTTTGGTATTTGTTTGCGTGTGAATTTAGGTTAAAATGTAGCATGCTCAAATAGCCATAGAGATTATTCAAGACTGCTAATATTTATAGACATTGACACGTTCAAAACAATTGTATTTACAATTTATATATATCTCTCATTTGCTATTATTTTCAACAATAATGTATTGTCCATGTGCAATTTTAATCACTAAATTATCATCAAAAAATCAATAATATGGTGCGTATGAAACTAATTTAATCATTATTTCTTTAAATTTGTAAAATTGAGACATTCCCATAATTTATAAGATGTTTTTATTTTTGTTTTTAATTAAGTAATTCAACAAAGTTTAAATAATTAATTTAGTGCATATTGCAAAAGATAGTCATATTACATTCTTATGTAAATTTTCATATCAAACATATTACATAATAAATAAACAATATGTTAATATTGATTATATGGAAATAATTATAATTGAAACTTTGAGAATATAATTATGCTGGTTACTTACATACAGTACAATAAAAATAGTTACGGCATAAAAAACATTTAATTGTCATTTGAGCAACTTATAATAATATAATACAAGTGTTTTGAATCATTTGATGCACTTAATTGTTGACAAATTGAATTATATAATAAAGTTAAAATATTCTTTCTACCTCGCAAAAAAAAGACAAATAATCTATTACTCTGATTAAAATAAAATGGTAAATTAATACCAACAAGTCGTATCTGAAAATTCATATTTTATTTTCAATATACTTATAATTTTTAATTCAATTCAACTTCATTTTACACATACAATACGGTATATTAAAAACTCAGTGTAAAGTTATATCAGTAGTTTACCAAGTATTTAACCATGATTGACCTTATGGGCAGCCACTTAATAGTCGCAACAACAATGGTAACTAGCCCTAATATATAATCTAATATGTTTAATTTTAAATTATAATTTAACCATCACAATTAACTAGGCAAGACCATTTATGTTTACCAAACAAAATATGACTGATAACAGTACAAAAATATTATATGGCATTGAAGCTAGTTTAATGAATTTATTGAGCATCAAGTGGAATTTCACTTATACACCAATTGAGAATCCAGGTCGTTGGGGGTTTAAAATGGCCAATGGTTGTTTTACTGGCATTGTGGGCACACTACAATCTAAAGTAAAGTATACAAAGGATAAGGCTATCAACTAATAGGTCACTGGGCTATGCTGGCCTGGTCACCATTTGACATGGATATGATAACACATGCCAAAAGGTCTTCGTAAGTGGTGTCCATTCCGTCGCAAGACTTCGGGTTCGGGAGTAGTGACCACTTTTATCGGGAACATATTTTGTCATTTCTGTTATGTTTTTGATGTATTAATATGTCATATGGCATATCAATCAAACGGATTCGATGAGCAGAACATATTTCCGAAAGAATCAATTAATTCGGATATCAAATAAAAAAGTTATCACAAAAATAAACCTAGCACTAGAATTTGTATGTTATTAGTGGTTTAGACGGTATTTATAGATAAAGTTCACTTTAATTCTTATTTAATTACTAATCAAGATATAACATTAATGAATATATTAAATAACAAAACATAAAAAATTTGCAAATTTTTAAATATATTTTTTGTGATAACTTTTTTATTTAATAACTGAATTAATTGATTTCTTCGGAAATATGTTCTGCTCATCGAATCCGTTCGATTGATATGCCATATGACATATTAATACATCAAAAACATAACAGAAATGACAAAATATGTTCCCGATAAAAGTGGTCACTACTCCCGAACCCGAACTCCTGCGACGGAATGGACACCACTCACGAAGACCTCTTGGCATGTGTTATCATATCCATGTCAAATGGTGACCAGGCCAGCATAGCCCAGTGACCTATTAGTCGATAGCCCAGGCCTTTATATAATAATCTCGTTGTTATAAAGTGTTTAATGGTAAGTAATTGATATTTTCAATGTTTGCATTAGCAAGCTGATTTAGGAATCGGTCATTTATCACATACACTGGAAAGGCATGAAGCAATTGACTTAAGTAACCCACATATTGTTGAAGTAATCACATTCACATCTCCCACACCAACACTAAACCAATTCATAAGTCTATTCAAACCGTTTGACACAAACACATGGATCGCGTGTTTTGTTATGATTTTTATGGTTTCAATTATATTGAAATTAATTACAAAATGTAAGCCATTTGTGAATATATTTTGGAAAGTTTTGCGAATGTTTATTCGACAAAACGTTCATGATTTAAGTGCTAACAATAGTGTTAATCGTATGGTATTGTCAACACTATTGCTGTCATGTGTAGTGTTGAGTACACTATACGGCGGATGTGTTTATTCAATAATTGCCAGCAATAGTGGGCATTGGATTCACACCATTGNAATAGTGTTAATCGTATGGTATTGTCAACACTATTGCTGTCATGTGTAGTGTTGAGTACACTATACGGCGGATGTGTTTATTCAATAATTGCCAGCAATAGTGGGCATTGGATTCACACCATTGAACACTTGGCTGACGCACAGGCGTCACACTATTTACAAACGCTGTCAACTCCTTTGCAAAATTATATATCACTACTTAAGGTATAATTTAAAACAATGTTTAAAAATTTATAATTTTAATTTGACTTAATTTTTACTACATATTAGTCTAAAGAGTCGGCATATTATACAAAAATTGGACGCCATATCCAAGCATATAGACTACGAATTTCTATGCAAAAATTAAATGACCATGATCGTATTTACTCGGTTATCGCCAGTAGAGAATCGTTGCTATTTTTTCTACATTACTATCACATAAGAGGGCATACAATACCTAAACTATCGATTGACACACAATTTTTCGCTGAATTAATATCCATTGGTTTGCAAAAGCATTCAATATATACACACGAGTTAAATATATTGTAACTTAAATAGATTTAAAATACTGGTATAAATATTTAATACAACTTATTTAATTATCTAGCTTATCGCGAGTTGTTAGATCTGGATTAATACAATATTGGACCCAGATGCTATACGTAAAATTGTTTAAAATGAATATTGATCATAGTGAGTATAACTCGCAGATTAATTCTAGTAAGCAATTGGAAATGACACAGCTAGTTTTACATGATTTATCTTTATTATTTCAAAAATTGTTAATTTTTTATACAACTTCAGCCATTGTCTGTGGTTGTGAACTTATATTTAACAAGATCGTTAATTATTTTTAGTATAAAATTAATAATAATTGTTTAATATTACAAATTAATTACTAATAAATAATGATTATTTTGAATTTGTGAATAAGATTGTATTGATTTAATAAATAAGTTATAAATGTTAACAAAATAATTAATAAAATTAATGCATTGTTATTTATGTTGCATTAATTTACATAATAAATATTACAATTTAATCAAGTATTTTATTTATTATCACTTAATAAAGCGAAATATTTTATGATTAGATTACTTTTCCATATATTGTTGCATGATAAATAAAATCAATGAATTCTTATTACGACAACAGTTAATAAATTATATTTGTTTGAATAATACAAATAAAATAAATTTACATCTAGCCTCATAATAGATAATTTATTTTTAGGAAATATCAATTGAAACTAATTAATATAATATTTAAATTGCATTGTGACATTTAATGAGATATTAATGTCACTGTATAATGTTATAATTCAACACACAATTTTATTATATTAAAACAATAAATAATAAATACATTTAATGAATTTAAAATTTATTCTACATTGTTAATCAGAAAATAATCTATTCAACATTTTTACCATATTAAACTTATAAAATAATTATTATATTTACACAATGCTTGACCTAATGGGAAAGAAATTAACAATTGCTACCACCAGGGTAATTTAAACATATTACAATGTGCTAAATTAAATTGTTTTTCATAATACTAATAAATAATATTTAACCTAATAGGCGAGGCCATATATATTTATTAACACAAGTGACCATGGTGATAAAAAAAGTTTAAATATAGGCGGAATTGAAGCACAACTATTAACCATATTACAATTAAAATGGAATTTTACCACAAGCATAATTAATACTAATGGATGTTGGGGTTTCTGCAAAAATAAGGGTAATTATTATGGTATTGTTGGCTTATTATTTTCCAAGGTATGTTTGCATTCTCTCTCTCTCTCTCTCTCTCTCTCTCTCTCTCTCTCTCTTAGTTTATATTAACTATTTGTGAATCATTTATAAAAGACAATCGTTGTGTAAAAAAGTTCATTTCTAATAAGTTATATAATTTTTATTAACAAAAATAAGTTTATTGTATGTTTGCAGACGTAATACGTATACCTGTAATGTATTACAGTTGAGTGTATGTTATAATATATAAGTTACTAATAATAAGTTTTGCCAAATTGAGACAGAATTTTGTGAATTAATGAAAACTAATGGCAGATATGAAGGCATACAAGTGTTCAGATCCAGTGTTCAAAATGAAGATCTGATGTATAAGAATGGAAAGCAATGGCGGCTTAGGTTTGGAGGAAAAGGTATTGAAATGCATTTCCAAGGAATGAATCCTTCGTGTGATAAAAGCATTATCAATAGATTTAGTGGCAATGGTTTCGACTGTGAAGTCAGATATCAGGTTATTATACATTGAATTCAATTTAATTCAAACATTTGTTAAATAATTATTTTTTACATTGAATTGATCTGAAAGTTGGCAAACAATAGCCGGATTGAGACCAACTGTTTCACTGCCGCCACTAATATCACTGACAAGACCTCTCAATACTCGCCCAAAGACATCATATTTCGGGCATCGAATACAAGTGACAACCAATGGATCGTCATTTACAACAAGAAATTGCGAAACATATCGTGTTATTCACCGCAGGAAACGACTCAAAAACTAGTGACCAATAAAACCAAATGCAAACAATTGATTGGTAGAAATCAAACAGTCATCGAAGCCATCGACCCATCGATTGTGAAGAGTATTGATGTTATCGTTGAGAACCCGTCCGGAAATGTAATCCACGGATACTATATATTCTTCAGACGAGACGGACGGCCAGTCTTTTGCGACAAATCTATGTTCGACCCGAAGAATAGGGTAATAGTTGTCAGAAATTTTTGTATAAAAATTGTTAATTTAATTACAACTTTAGTGCAAATCCGAGACAGACATAAAGGAGAAGAAGACTTCACCGAAAGATACAAAATAGAAGAGAAATAAGATCTCAAAAATTGAATGTTTTTTATTTATCATATTTTCTATTCCTATATATTCTATACATTTTGTCACAATTTATGAATTCTATTGTTTTATTGAGAAATTATATATCTTTTATTTATTAATTATTGACAGATTAATATTTGTGTACTTTTTGCAAANTTGAGAAATTATATATCTTTTATTTATTAATTATTGACAGATTAATATTTGTGTACTTTTTGCAAATTTACTTGGAATTTATTTTTAATACAATATAAATATTCCGTATATTTTTGTTATTTTTATAATTAAAAACCATAAACATTTAGATAAATGGCATAATTTTTATGCATCAATTAAAACAGATTATTCATTATTGTGTTACTGTCTGTACAGTATATAAAGTGGGACTCAAGAATTTTGGTCACAAACAGGCAATCAGAAGCTAATTGACATCAAATGTCTATAAAAACATAAACATATATTTAAAACATTATATTTGTTCATAAAATTAGACACAAAATTGAATTAATTATTGAGAGGCAAAGAAGACATTGCACTCATAGTATAGTACAATAGTTTGCTTCAATCGATACAAATTGAAGCGATTGTGAGACAACTTATTTAAAATCAATATTTAAAATTGTGAATATACTGTAATTGCAAACATTTATCATAAATGAATTTAAATCCATATGTTTGTAAATATGTTTGCAACATGATAAATGATGACATAAAACTTTGAATGAAGTTTTTTAACAAAATTTCTTAATGCTTTTTGTTTGAAATTTGTTTTATCAAAAACAATAATTAAAAGATTATTATTCACTTTTTTATGATTATAAAAAGAATTACCTTTTTTAAGAAATTATGTATTGAATACCGTAAAGTTAGTATTTATTACTAGAGTAAAAATACATACTTATAATTGTTGACATACATTTACAATCATTTGGCATTAATATCCAAAATAATAAAATACAAGAATGTAAACTAAATCAAACTCTATGTTTGGTCCGATTCTGTTCCTACACATCAATAATACATAATTAATCTAAAGATAAGGATACTTCACCAGCATGTCATAACCTTTTCGTAATGTAAAGAATCAACATCAGTAAAACCGGATTTAAACCCAGTAAAAATAACCTCACTTTCATGCCGTGTTTAGTCGGATTGATGAAAACTTTTGGCACTAATTTATCCATTAGTTCGCAATTGAATACTAGTTTCTCACCGATTCTCGCATCGATTTCATCAAATTTGTCAATTACTTTGTGAAGTGAAAAGTTTTGGTTCACTAATTGCATTAGGGATACAAAGTATTGATTTGGAAAATAACTAAAATTAAAAATATTAACGTTAATAAAAAACGATAACTAATAGGACATAACGCCCATGTGTTTAATATAATGATATTTAGCAATGGATTAAACAATTAAAATCAGACATAAAATTCATGGAAAATTTATATTAATTTTTTATTTTTATTTATGGCCTAAAAATATCTGCTGGTGTTTAATATGCTTTCCAATGGATTAATGTATTTAAGGATTAGTCTATTTGCTTGCGTTATATGAATAAATCAATAGAAAGTAATAAGAAATTTTGGTTTGAATTAAACGAGACTAATTTGCTCCTAAAGATACTGTTGTGTTTAGTGAAAAAACGAGCGTAAATTCTAGAAATTAATTAAAAGACAAGTTTACATAATTATGTTGGTAAGCAATACTAATCGCAATACAAGCATATTTAAACACTTCAATAAGTATTATATATTATACTCTACTCTATATGTGTTTGTATTTATCATTTCTCCATCACTTCATTGAGTGGATAAACAAATTCATTGCAATTATTGAACGCCTGTTTGGCTACACATTAAAGCTATCGATAATTAAGTGGTTAAACGGTTTCACAAAATTATAGCATTTATTAAAATAAAGAAACCGTCATTAAACTAACAATCGAGAGTTTGTTTGGACATAAAACAAACGTTATATTACCGTAAATAACTATCAACTTTCACAAAAAATACTCTCTACAACTGAAGTGAACATAATTGACAAGTTATTGTTGTTTTTACCAAAACTTTCTCATCAATTATTCACTAATATTTTATGTATAGAATCGAGTGAATGATAAATAGGTGTAGATTTTACTGAACACATAATTTCCGTAAACTCTACTTCTTTTCAAATGAATTGCTTTCCTGTCTATCGATTCGTGAATTTAATGAAAATTTTTATGCAATTTTAAACTAATTGATAATTTATGACATATTATGCAAATATAACCTGAATTTCAAACCCATTTAATTCATTGTTTTAATACTGGCATTAAATCGTTGATTAATTTCCTTCCCCTCCAACAGACGAAATACATATGAATTATACAAACATTTATTATTAATAATTCATTTTATTTAAATTTATTTTTCAAATTTTGCTTAAAATAAACATAATTTT